CTGTTACCTCCTTTTTAAAATATTTCACAGCGTGGTACTTCAGCGACTCGCTAGGATTTAAACATGATTGTAATAGGATGCTGCGATATCAGCGGTAATTAATTTTGTGACGACAGTGGCTGCTCCAACGTGCAACAGTCACGCCCGGCGTTTTTTTACGCACACCCTCCATATCATATTTAAAATGTTTTTCAAAAATAATCTTCGACCAGTATGTACATATATATGTATGACTACTTTTATTTAGTAAAATAAATAAAATAATAATAATACTAGTATAGAACAATTCACTTTGTCTTCGGGGTGAGACATGGGAAATATATTGCTGTGCCGGGTTGCGAGCCCGCTATCTTTTTTTTTTAAAGACCTTCACTCAGTTCTGGTAGGCCGGAAATCCGAGAACTGGGACTTGTTTCAGGTCAGTGTTGAAGGAAGCACGTGTGTGACGATGATAGTTCAAGACATGCACAGGCAGATGTCGCTGGTGTTTGGTTTTATTTAAATTCACAGTGACCGAACGAGCAGAGGCCGGCGCTCGATAACAAGGAAGAGAATGGAAGTGTCAAATAGTACTGGGAGGAAATCCAGCATACAATTCTAGAATAATGGGAGAAGAATAGGGGGGGGGGGGTCGAGTAGGATGGACGATGCGAGCTCCGATACAGAGGGGCATACGGGTACACTCAGTAGAAAAATACTTCAGAGATTTTGGAGGGAATCAGCTAGTCAAGTGCTCTGCAAAACAGCGGGTAGATCTACCATTTGGACAATGCGAGCTCTGATGCTACAGAGGGGCATAGATTAAGTAGAGAAAAGTATTTCAAAAGACTTTGAAGAAATAATCTAGTGGCATGCAAGACAGTTGGTAACATTTGTAGAAAAATCTGATAGAAAAGTCTGATAGAAAAGTCTGATAGAAAAGTCTGATAGAAAAGTCTGATAGAAAAGTCTGATAGAAAGGTCTGATAGAAAAGTCTGATAGAAAAGTCTGATAGAAAATCTGATAGAAAGGTCTGATAGAAAAATCTGATCGAAAGGTCTGATAGAAAAGTCTGATAGAAAACTCTGATAGAAAAATCTGATAGAAAAATCTGGTAGAAAGGTTTGATAGAAAAATCTGATAGAAAAGTCTGATAGAAAAGTCTGATAGAAAATCTGATAGAAAATCTGATAGAAAGGTCTGATAGAAAAGTCTGATAGAAAAGTCTGATAGAAAGGTCTGATAGAAAAATCTGATAGAAAGGTCTGATAGAAAAATCTGATAGAAAAGTCTGATAGAAAAGTCTGATGTAAATGTTCGCATAATAGACCCTTTGCATATGCGGCCAAAAAGGCTGCGTTTTGTACGCCACGCGTCATACCCATGACTCACCATTGTCACGTGCACGGTGTTTCTTCAAAATGGGACATGTCGTGAACATGGTGAAGGAGATTGAATGTTTGGCAATTGAGAATGCCACTTTGACGTCCATATTTTCACTTTCATCGTGCTCTACCACTGGTCTGTATTGATTGTTATGATGGACACGGAGCCTGTAGTCTCATCTGACCCACTGCAGCCAGTAGTTACCCCCAAGTTATCTGTGTATGCCGAGAAATTGGATTCCATTGGGAAGAAACGATATGAAGAGAAATTGTCTTTGCTTTCTGGATTCGACCCAATGCTGGGCATTCCTCGTGGTGCGAAACCTGTTGAGCCGTGTGTGGAAATGTCTGACCTTATGTCCTACTTGGTCCATGAAACGAGTTTCTGCTCCAAAAAGCAGTTTAAAGCAAAGAAGGGCCTTGACGCATATAACCAGTTCGTATCAGGTTGGGTGAAGGAAGTGAAGTCGTTCGAGTGCTGCGGGAAACATGTCACTGTAGCACGGGTAAGAGTTTTGTTCATCACAATAAATAATCACTCTTCATCGGTAACACTAGTATGGCAGAACTGACAAAACTGAATCTGCTGAGTTGGCTATTTACTCCTGATTAGTATGTGTGTATGAAAGTGGTTCAAATTTTGAACTTATAGGGGAATAATTGATAAACAAATTTCAGCACATGTACTAGATGCGCCACTTACTGTGCCATGAGATTGTGACTTGACGTAGTACTTACTATACCCTTCTTGCGGACATGTCCAGGGCTATATTTCTCAGTATGCATATGTACAAATTATTCCAAATTGTTGGTGAGTGATGAACGTGCATTCCATGTGTTCCATGTGCTCCATGTCTCTCACAGGTCCGTCACTCACAAAGGTTCAGCGAAACACCACTACACTGTTGGCTTATCACAGACCCCGATGGTGTTGTCTGCTGTGCGCACTGCAACTGTATGGCAGGCTTGGGAGAAACGTGCACACATGTTGCTGCTACTCTGTTTTTCCTGGAGGCTGTTCATGGGCATAAGGAACCCGCCGCGACCGTAACTGGAGTGCCATGCCAGTGGAAGGTCCCAACCTTTCAGAAGGAAATGGAGTATGCCAGGGTAGCAGACATTGATTTCTCGTCGCCTCAGCAGAGGCAGGAAGCACTTGATCGAGATGTGTCACCTCCCCCAAGCCCAAAGCGCCTCTGTGTGAAGCTACCCTCAGACGCCGAGAAGAAGTGCTTCTATAAGACCCTTGCGTCCCTGAAAACGAAGCCCGCCGTCCTGTCCGTCATCAAGCCTTTCCTATCAGGTTATGTACCAGCATCAACTTCACCCACCCTCCCGAAGCCACTGAATAGCCTTTATCAAGAGGAATGCCTCGCTATGAGCCATGAGCAGCTTCTTGATGTGTGTGCACAGAGTAATGTGGACATAAGCGAGAGGGAAGTGGCAGCTGTTGAGACAGCTACAAGGATGCAATCTGGCAGCAGAGTGTGGTTTGAACAAAGAGCCGGCCGTGTGACGGCTTCCCGAATGTATGATATATGTCACACATCTGCGCAGTCTCCATCCAGGAGCCTCATCCAGGCTATATGCTACCCCGATCCTCTGCCAAAGGGTGCTCCCTCTACACGCTGGGGACAAGAACACGAAGGCCCTGCACGGGAGCGGTACACTGCTATGATATCTGCCAATCACATGAATTTCGAGGTGTCTGATTCTGGTTTAGTCATCAGCAAGGAGCTGCCATTCATCGCTGCCTCACCGGATGGCATTGTCCAATGTGATTGTTGTGGATCCGGTCTGGTGGAGGTGAAGTGCCCTTATACTCATCGGGGGACTCCATTGGATTCGGCTTCCCAGGACAAGAAGTTTTGCCTGGAAATGGTTGGGAGCAAGTTACAGCTCAAGCGGACTCACGCTTATTATTTGCAAATCCAGACCCAGCTGTATGTTACGGGAGCAGATTTCTGTGATTTGTGTTTGTGCCTCTTCTCTGAGGATGGCAAGAATGATTTACATGTTGAACGCATCTACCCGGACTGTGATGCCTGGAAGGACTTCATTACAAAGGCGAAGAAGTTCTTCTTTGGGTGCATCTTGCCAGAGCTCGTTGGGAAATGGTATACGTCCAAGGGTGCTCGTCTTAGTATTGGCACTACCATGGGCCCTCAACAACCACCACCAATGTTGTCGCCTGCCAGAGAAGCCACATCTTCCTCGACAGTCCAAATGACGACGCAAAGCCTCTCTCTTCAGTCAGCTGCGAGCATCGCCCAAGTCCAGTATCCGATGGCGTCGAGTCTGGCACTTCATTCGCCGTCAATGGTGAAGGCCTGCTGCAAGAGTGGATGCTCCTATTCTTTAGATCTTCGTCCTTGCCGCTGTGGTCACCACTTTCATCATATATGTACGACTGATGAGGATGGAAAGCTGTGTGCTTGCTGTTATACAGCGTACCCCTTTTTATAGTCATTGACGTATTCGTCATTTTGTGTTATTTATGGTGGTAGTGCCACTCATTAACCACTATAGTTTCCCTTGCCACTGGAAATGACCTTAGCATATATAGCTCGCGTGTGTGTGTGTGTGTGTGCGCGCGCGCGCGTGTGTGTGTGTGTGTGTGCACATGTGTGTGTGTGTACGTGCGTGTGTGCCTGTACGCACAATGAACGAACAGCTTTTCGCTATCATTGCTGTTGCAATGGGCAAGTAACGGGTGTGTGTATGTGTTTATGAAGAAGGATTCCGGTTGTATACCCCAGTGACACAGTACTCTCTTGGCTCCCTGGCCCCTAACTACTGTACTGCGGGCATGACCATTACAAGTTAGTCTAGTAGGATGTTTTTGTTTATAACCTGAGAATGTGGAGAGCATGAACGCGAATGTTTTCTGATTTTCTGAATTTCTTTGCTAAATTTGATTTCTTCTTTGCCTGCCTGACGTACGAGTAGTAGTTTTGTACAAGTATCTCTCCACATCTGCTAATATTAGTCCGTAAAAGCGGCATCCTTCCTTGGCTGTTCCCCAGTCCAATACAATACCACTACCTCACAAAGCATTGTGTTTGCTTGTCTCAACCATGCAGGGAGTGAAAATATATCCCATGCTCTGCTTGCTGTATATTGAAGTCAAGCGAGAAGTAGGTATTGCTGCATGCTAAGAAGCCCCTGGTGTATTGTCACAAGCTAACAATACAGCGGATATAGGGACAAGATTTTGAGGCCCGGAGGCATGTCGTTGTAACCAATGTTGTCTGTACATGTATGTGGGACACAAGACGAGTAAATCGTTATAAATTTTTTCAAACTGTATCTACGGGACTGCATGGCAGCTCTCAGATTGCGGGATAAGATCAGAAGATACAAGCAACAGAGGAAAAAGCCCACAGCCAACATGTTCGGTGTCTCCGCTGTCACCGTGAACAAATCAAGTGAAGCGAAAAAAGATCATGATATGGCAGTGTCATTACAATAGAGGTAACTTGCAAATCTGGAAACTGTAAAAAGGACAACTGTGATTTCAGCAACAACAAAACACACACACACACTCTACAGCCATCACGTTCGGGCTCTCCACCGTCTCCGTGGACAAGTCAAGTGAAGTCGAAACGGGTCATCGGCGCAGGCAACAGGTGTAGTCACTCGAAAGGCACAACCGAATCACAGAGATTGGTCAGGGCACAACATACAGGAATGATACGGCAAATCAAAGGTCGGTCATCTCCAGAGCGACTACGCAGGAAATCAATCGGCAGTATTCCTCGCAAAATAGAATATTTCTTGCGGAGATTCCCAATAACTCGTTCGACGTGGATGCGCACGTTTGCGATGCTGCGGGTGGTATGCACATCATCGGCCGACAGTTGCTTCTTACCCCTTGTGAACGCTGGGATGTGGAGCTTGGCTCCCTGCACGGCAACTAGCTCCTGGATGTCAAAGCCACGGTCTGCAAGGACAATGTCTCCAGGTAAAAGGTTTGACAAGAACTGAGAGTGCTGGGTTAGATACTTGTCACTGACGCGCCCGCCCCACGGCTCGGAGATGAAGGAGATGACACCTTGCGGGGTGATCCCAATCAGCACTTTAATTGTGTTATGTTGTTTGTAGTTCGACCATGTCTGGGCACGGGTGTACAAGTTTGAAGGCCTGTCTATGAACACTTCGAAGCAGTCGATGATTGATGACACTTTCACGCCAAACGCCTCCCTGAAACAAACTGGTGTTGTCGCTTGTAGCTCCTCCCTCCCTGGCCAGACAACCAAATGTGATAGTCGACGGTCCATGGCTGTATACCATTTGGTAAGAATGCGGGAAATGGTGCCAGCCGATACACCCATCCGATGGCCCAGGGCTTGTAATGATGAGTCCAACCGTAACTTCACAAGGGCAACAACCATCTCTTGAAACGGGGACAAGGCACAGCCAAATGAGTCTGGCATTCCCTCACGCACATGCTCGTACACAGCCAGTAACATCTCGAAGGTTGGCAAACCCGTAAAGAACCGCACATCGCTATCATTTTGCAACTTGGCTTGCGTGAACGGCGCGTGACTGGCCAATTTGCCTTCAAGCACCTTGTATTCCGCTGTCAGCTTGGTCAGCCTATCTTGCAAGCCCTTGTTCTCTGTAGATAGCCTGGCCAGCTGCACCTGGACGTCCAAGTTGTTGGAGCTAGCCGTTGGAGCATGGAGGGAAGAAGGTGAGAAGGTGGCTTCCGTTAAAGATTGAAAGGCAAATGTTATATCATCACCAGATAACAACGTCCCCACGCATTTGTCATTGGTGTCCTTACTGCCTTCTTCAGAAAAGTCTAGCTCTTGAACCAGCTGGCCAGGTGGAAAATTGGATAAATCCATGCTCTCCTCCACAAGGACGTCACTCTCATCATCAACATCATGTGGCGGTGACAGATCCAAAGCAGCAGGCCCAGCATCAGGTGATGGTGGTGGTTGTAACGAGGCAACGCCAACATCACACAGATGTGGCGGATCATTGACATCCAATGAAGCTGCAGCCTCTGAATGGGCCTCCTCCACTCTCTGTCTGGCTTTGCGACAGGCATAACGCTCCACTACCTGCTCCTCACTCGCCTTCCTTTTGCCAGGACCAGGCAAATTCTTCGAAGGAACCCAATCTGGGTTTGTTTTGTCCCAGAGTTCAGAAGGGCGGCCGGAAATGAAATGATCGCTGCAAACACGAGCATCATCCAATGTCTTCCCAACTAGGTCTGCTCTGGCTATCGCTGCAATCCACAGCCGTCGCCTCTCCTTGACCAGTTCGATGTCAGCACTTTTCGTTTTCGAGTTCACATTGGGAAGAGAAAACCTCTTGATTTTATCTCGACCCGTCCGCTTCGTACAGCGGGCAATAGAACATATACCCATCACCACAATGGACACAGACTACAGAAATGCAAAAAGCGGACTGCTTGGCAAGGAACAAGCGCAAGAAGAAGGGGAAGAAAACTCTAATATCAATTTGAAAACAATAATAATTTATTATAATCGAGGATGGGACATGTCCCAAGTTGCTTCCAACCTAGCACGGGTCCCTGACGTCATGATAATGATGACATAATGCGTACGCTGTGCAAAGGGTCTATACATGTACTAGGGCAGCAAAATATGCTGCCCCAGTACATGCTGGCTTGACCTCGGAATTCCAGATACAGTAGCAGGCAAGCAGAGAGACCTGACAGGCCAGTTGAAAGCCATCACGGCGACATCTGGACGGACTAGGCAAAGTACAGATATGAGAGGAGTTTTGAGGTAGTAAGAGGCCGGGGAGAAAGACAAACAGTCGCAGACTGACTGGCGCAGACAGTCATACAGAGACACTGGCAAACAGATATATGCAGAATAGAATGGATAGATCCGGCAGCTATTTCCGAAATTGCAAAAGGAGATGTGACATTCGCGTCGCCGCGAGGGTCATCGTAACAACCCAATCGTGGACTGAGATGAGCAGAATCGAGGTTGAACATTCGAGGCAGCTAGGTATCCGATCTTCCAGAGCATGATGCCACTCATCGGGTCATGCAGGTCATCAGTCACGGATGTCAACACCTAGAGGTGGGCTTCCTCTTTGCTTTGCGGCGTTCCTGCGCTTGTACGTCTTCCACGCCATTACAGCACACGCGACAAGAATAAGGCACGCGCCCGCTACAACTCCGGCGACCAGCAATGCACCATTTCCACCACTGCTGCCTTTGTTCGCGCTCTTGCCGTTGTATTGGTTGAAGAAGTGGACGGCGCCGTTGTTGTTGTTGTTGTTGTTTCTGCTGTTGGCGGTGGTCATGTTGGCTGTGTCGTCTATGGCGGATGCGGCGAGTGTGTCATTGGGACTGCCAGAACCGCTAGCGCCGCTGGCGTCGTCTGCGCTAGCGGTTGCATTGGCGTTGCCGCTGCTGTTGCTGCTGCTGTTGGTGTTGTAGTTGTTGTTGCTGCTGCTGTTGCTGCCATGACCGATACTGCCGAAGCTGTTGGTGCTACTGCTGCCGCTACTACTGCTGGTGATGGTGGTGGTGGTGGTGGTGGTATGACCTCTGGTGCCAGTGGCGTGCACCGAGTCTTGAAAGGGGGGTTTCTAGAGTTGGTAAAAAAATTCTGGAGACCCACTGTATAATTATGTATTTTGTGCACATGAGCATCCCCCGAACATCCCGTCGGAGTTAACGGCGAGGGCTAGGGAGGAGGCTAGGGGGGGGGGGGGGGGACTCAAGATCAGGGGTGCAGGGAACCAATGAACACTGGTGCTGATGAGATGTGGGGCTCGTCCGACTGCTATCATCAGAATCATGCCGGCACAAACGCGTCTGAGAGGGCAACCAGGTACAGGCGTAGAAAGGACAGAAATAAGAGTAATGAGGAATGGAGGGAGGGGACGATGTTACATGGAAATGTTGGTACATGTATGACCGGTAGCAGGATAAAACGGGTTACCTTTTACATACCAGCACTTCAAAAAGTATTTGCAAAGAGGTTGCAAAGGTCAATGCACTCATTATACAATCACATGTTTGTCAAACCCGTAAAAGTTTGATAGGCCTAGCCGCCTAGGCTACATGTATACACTACAGTCTATAAGTATAACACTATGTCTATGGTACTTCACTAGTCCACTCCATGCAGGCATGTTTGTTACATCAAAACACTGCTTACATTCGACGTATTTTTCTTTCTGTTCTTATGACGAAGTTTTCGGCATGTATTGGCAATGTTCCACATGATTTCAATAAAGAGTTATGGACCTTGCTTCGATGGAAGCTCGCGGGAGAAAAGCGAAGCCCCGCGTCCTTGAGTCGCGGCCCGAGCAGCGCTTCGTTCTGAAGCAGCTCAAGTGGATCATGGACGCACATTTTTACGTCTTCCAGTCGACAACGTTTTTGACGAACATCTCTGCTGCGCACATGAGCGAGAACGAAAGGCTGTCATCTTGATTTGAGTCAACAGTTTGGAAGGAGATATCGTCAATCATATCCTTGAACTGACTTGCATCGCGCGTGCTTGACTCAAATTTCGAGGCAAAACGGATTTCTTGAACGTCATCGCCAATCCAGGAGCGAACCAGAGCTAGCCTAGAGATCGATCTCTCTGTGGCTACTCTCCACTGAAGAAAGAGAGAATAATGTATTTTGAACTGCATGCAAAGCAACTCTCTCTCTCTCACTTCGAAATAAGGACATAGTCACTGTACTGTAAACTGCCCGTCGATCGACGTGTATGCAGAATAACCAATCCAGTACGAGCGTAGGCACGCTTTTCCTTTGGCAAGATTGCCCGAAAAAAGGTGGTTTCCAGACACCAAAAAACTCATACGGTGCACGCGCCTGGGTGCTGCTGCTACTGCTGGTGGTGGTGGTGGTGGTGGTGGTGGTGGTGGTGGGACCTCTGGTGCTGCTGCTACTGCTACTGGTGGTGGTGAGACCTCTGGTGCTGCTGCTACTGCTGGTGCTGCTACTGCTGGTGGTGGTGCTGCTACTGCTGCTGCTGCCGCCGGGGCCTCTGGTGCTGCTGCTGGGGCCTCTGGTGCTGCTGCTGGGGCCTCTGGTGCTGCTGCTGCTGCCGCCGCCAACGTTCCTGTTGCTGCTGGTGCTGCTGCCACTGCCGGTGTTGCCACTGCTGGTGCTGCTGCCACTGCCGGTGTTGCCACTGCTGGTGCTGCTGCCACTGCCGGTGTTGCCACTGCTGGTGCTGCTGCTGGTGCTGCTGGCCGGCGAGACGTGAAATACCGGAGGCGCTGCGGGAGATGAAGCAGTTGAACATAGACATGCACAGACATGCACAGACACACACACACAAACACACACACACACACATACACACGCACACACGCACGCACACACACATACACACACACACACACACACACACACACACATACACACACACACACACGCACGCACGCACACACATACACACACAGACACACACACAAACACACACAAATACACACCTCAGACCTCAGACCTGCCCATCGCGGAAGTGATGATACAACAAAGTACATAGAATGGCTTGTTAGGACATGGCAAATAGTTCTCTGAAGGTTTCGGAACAATTGGACCAACCGTTAAGGAGTTAGAATTTCGGCCAGGTTTCCGGCCTTTTCCCATGGTTTTCAATTTGCCCAGGAAGCCAGTATCGATTTTTTATCAAAACCCACGATTTATCCTTTCCTTTTTGGCCTTGTGGTTATGAATGCTGTCTGCTGACCATGAAGTTGTGAGTTCAAATCCCAACCTATCCTCAAGTCAAACTTTTTTTTCATTGTTTTGGTGATCAAGCTGGTACATACAAGACAAAGAAGATGGCTGCACCAAACGACTTGTTGTTGGAGCTCGCGCTTCCTGCCGAACTGACTGACACTTGACTGGCTCACGCCATGTGAACACACCCACAACACTGCAATGGTGTGAGTGAATTATAATGGAAGTCATCACGCTGTAGCTTTTTGAGATTTATTTTAGTATTTCAAGATCGCCAATTTATTTGAATTTAGCAGTCAACGCCGTCTTCTATCAGCGTTCACAAGCGTCTGCTTTTCTCAAAATGTCGTTGAAGTCACACGGATAGCTTTGCCAAGTCATGGCCTTGGGAATATGTCCGTGTCGATGTCGTTTTCGTCACACGATGAGTAAATTGCATCGCAGCTCAAAGAAACTATTTTGGTCACAAAACGAATTGGGACCCATGCAGCTCGCCAACATTTACAACACTTTCGTTTCGACATGTCCTCTCTGACTCCATTATCGATACAAGGAAGAACTCGTTTGTTGTAAACCAGACGTACATGACAGTATCAACGTGAGTGAGTTGTCATTTTTCCTACTTTCGCGCGGAATATTTCTTCGAGTTCACAGTGAGTTTTTCCAGGCAGCGCTCGAGTGCTCATACGGTAAGACGCCAAACTCCGCGGGCGATCGCCAGGATTGTAAATCTTTTTGAAACGGACTGTAGTTAGTCAGTCTTGTTTTGGCAGTCTATCGAACTTCTGAGATTCTCTTCCCTTGTCGTTGTCGACTGGAAACTGTTGATCCGCTCGTCCTATTGTGACTGTGCCTGAACTTAACAGTTTTAATAAGGCAATAAATATAACTAAATGCGCACTCATATCACAACCATGGGGACGAATAATGTATTCCAGAACGTTTTCTTGTCACAATTATCCATGGAATCCGTGACTAAGGAGAATGATGAAACTACAATAGGATTTATACACTTGGAGTGAAACGACGAGGATACAAGAATAGTAAGAAAAATAGCACAAACTTAGGAAAATTTTGCACAGGTAATAAAAACTATACAGGTGAGAAATGATAGGAAATTCAGCAAGTGCAGTGTGACAATGGACATGCATGTGCAAGTGTGTGTGTATTGGTTTTTTTCCAAATTACACTAATAATCAGTGAGAATGTTGACCAGAAAAAAACGAGTACGGAAAACGCTGAAAAATTCCGCAAAATGGCGCTGGGCAATACGGATGGGGTAGAGGGCACTTGGTAACACTGAGACAGATATACAGACAGACAGACAGACAGACAGATAGACAGGCAGGCAACCAGGCAGGCAACCAGGCAGGCAACCAGGCAGGCAGGCAACCAGGCAGGCAACCAGGCAGGCAACCAGGCAGGCAACCAGGCAGGCAGGCAACCAGGCAGGCAACCAGGCAGGCAAACAGACAGACAGACAGACAGACAGACCGACAGTCCGACAGACAGACAGGCAGACAGGCAGGCAGGCAGGCAACCAGGCAACCAGGCAGACAGAGAACCAGGCGGCAGGCAGACAGGCAGACAGACAGACAGACAGACAGACAGAAAGACAAACAGACAGACAGACAGACAGACAGACAGAAAGGCACTGCAAGCAGATAAATCACACGAATAACAGAAAGAAAGTGAAGGGCAAATTAATTAACACATACCCCGAATACCGATGGTGAATGCAACACTATCAGTCCCTGCATCATTTTTCACCAGCACAGTGTACACTCCCCTGTCTGAGGGTAACAAATCGATCAGTGCCAAGCGCAAGCCATTGCTCGACAATTGCATCCTGTCTGAGCTTGTGTTGATTGTAGATCCATTGTGCATCCATTCTATATTGGCCAGTGGATACGGTGTGTGTTTCAGAGTGACGTGAAGCGTGATGTTTTCACCGAGCAGTCTGGTGGTGTTGAAGGCTGAGAATGTATCCACAGTTGGCGGTACTGGGAAGCAATGCAAGTAGAGAGGAAACAGAACAATACCAAGGTGTCACTCATACAGCACTCAGTCGATTGCAAGGTTAAGACAGCAAACAGGAGGAGGATTTGTCTTGGACTGACCCCCTAATGTTACTATTTATTGTCCTGAACCCCGAGCGGCAACACTCTTTGGACAAACTAACAAACAACTGGAGATGAAGGATTCCAGGGTGCACAGTAGAGGAGTGTGGGGGGGGGGGGGTGCTCATTATATCCATTCAGAGCAGCATTTCCAATGCCCTGCGGCCATGACTGAGTGGATCAACGTGCAATGAGATTGCACACGATGGTCTCTTTCAATGTGCACATCTCACATGAGACAACTTTAAATATTTCTCCATCTGCTGTTTCATCCCAGTGTAGACTGTACAGTGCATGGCCTGAACTGCATACTCGCCTACTGGACTGCCAGGATACCATGATGCACAGGTTCACTGGCCTAAGTTGTAAAATAACCACTCCAATGGGTTATTCACATCACAATACTTACCGTAGGCCAGTCTCGAAGTTGTAAAATAACCACTCCAAAGTGCTGTTCAGTGTAGAAAACTTACCGTATGCCAGTACGGTGACAGTCCGAGTGATTAGCGTGGGGAAACACGGCTGCACGCTGTGGCGGTTGCCAGGAATGTTACACAGAGCATTGCTGTACACTTTACACGTGTACGTCCCCACCGTGTAGCCGAAAAACTCGTGGATAATGGCTTTCCACGTCTTTCTCCTTGATGTGGGCACTGGCGGATTGATGAACCAGAATCCTCCAGGACTTTCCCAGGTTATGGAAACGTGCTCGCCATACGCGTAGCACGTCAATATGAGAGACGTCTGAGTCTGAGTCTTGGTTACGTGCAACATCCGTGGAGCCTCTAAAAACGAAGCACAACAAAGGAAAAAAAGTCGTTTCGGAGAAAGAAGTTGTTACATTTCTTCGAGACTGACACAAGATTGCTATATACTATACTCATGGAGTGGGTATCTCTGTTACATGACATGTTTATTTCTCGTTGGCTGAGCGAAGCGAAAGAAACGAGAAATCTAGTTCTCTGTTAATATTTTTTGCACGTGCGTGCGGAACGGGTACGAGGGCAGTGTGCTGTGGTTGAAAGTGCTGTTGCTGTGATTCTGCAGGTCATTGTTTTTCTTCTTGCCAAGTGTGCAGCTGCCCAAAATATTTTCTCCGTCGTGTAGATCGGCCTGGTGCTGTTCTTTTCTGTTGCCAACATGAGTGGTCGGAAGGCAAAAACTGTGAACTCTGGTCGTGGTAGAGGTAGAGGCAAGAGAGGAGGCGCTCGTGCCTCAGCCGTATTTGAGTTTCCCGACTCCGATAGGGTCGGAACCACGTCGTCGTCGTCCGAGTACGAAACGGCAGTGGAACACCAGCCCTCGGCACCCCCAACTGCAGCTCCTCAACAGGCTGGTGCTGCTGCGTCCAAGGCAGCCACAGAGTTCGAGAGCGAGCAAGAGCTCTTGGGCATGAAGATCCGAATGCTGGAAAGAGGCATGGAAAGGTTGGCAGAACGAGGCAGGTCGCTGAAAAGAAGACGAGGGGGAAATTCCCCTGATGCAAGATCATCGTCGTCCTCGTCCTCGTCCTCCTCAGAGTCGAGATCAAGATCCCGCTCGCCGAGGCAAAAAAGGAAGTCCGGAGCACCCACGGAGCTGAACTGGAAAACGACCAGCTATGCAAAACAGTTTGCATTGAACGAGGAATTGCTGGACATCATTGCCTCAATGAAGTCGAAGTCGAAGAGAAAAAGGAGAAGAGCAGCGAAAAAAGGTGAGCGTGTACTTAGAGAGAGGCAGGAGTGGCTTGTTGTCGCTGAAAACCATGGCCACCAGGTGGCGACTGCATTCCAAGGAGGCAACCTGCTCATGGACCTGGTGACAGGCTCCAAAAAGCAGAAGCGGCTGCAGGCCGCAATCCAAGCAGAAGGGGTGAAAAAGAAAGCGGCCGGAGGTGTGCGTAGCCTAGGTTCGGTCGATGCTAATGTTCAGGCAGGGCAGGGGATGGGGATCCCACCTCGTCCACATCCAGATCCCATTCAGCATATGCCAGGTAACTTTCGGCCCCTCCGGTGTGCCACAAATGTGGGCAGCCAGGGCATTTCGTCAGAGTGTGCACGCAGCAGCCGACGGCCGCTGGCCAGCAAAATCGGCGGCCAATGTAAGAAGGATACGAACACGTCGAGGAGTGCAGCAATATTTGACATAGCTATGTTGTATAGTTCATACTCTGATTGATATAATAATTCAGTGTGGCTAGTTCTAGACCGATGTCATATTGTGCGTCTGATTTCATAAATTGTGAATACAATACAACCATCAAAAGTTTATATAAGAACATTTACTGCGGAAGTGCTGCGTGTCTTTGTGTGCTGTATGTTATATCTGCAGGTAGCACCGGGTGCTACGCTAAGCTGCTGGGATCCTGGATCCGAAGTGCCGGGCACCAGGTGCCATGTTGTTGATGCTGCTGTGGCTGCTGGTGAGGGATAGTGATCTGCCCGTTGAGACGCGAACTGCCACCGGGTAGACGGGGACAGCGCACATCGTGACTAGCCAAAGTATTCGGCGACCTCTACCGAGTCTCCTGCTCCTATCATGGATAGGGTACTAAACCCGGCTATGCTTTGTGCGTCTTGTGCAGCAGGTCTGCATTCACCGCATGTTCAAATGGCTGCTGTGTGTGATAGAGCTGGGTGTGCATGCTGATGCTCGTGCAAACAAATTTGGAGCAGAGAAATGTTTATTTCTCGTTGGCTGAGCGAAGCGAAAGAAACGAGAAATCTAGTTCTCTGTTAATATTTTTTGCACGTGCGTGCGGAACGGGTACGAGGGCAGTGTGCTGTGGTTGAAAGTGCTGTTGCTGTGATTCTGCAGGTCATTGTTTTTCTTCTTGCCAAGTGTGCAGCTGCCCACCCACCCACCCACCCTGGTCAACTATCTTCTTAGTGTGCGCTGCCGTTATCCGCTGTAGTGTGTGCTGCAGACTGTAGTCGTGTGACTCATGATGCTCTGGTCTATATGCCTATAACTCTTCGCTTGGCGAGTTTTTCGTACTTCAAAAACGAAGTAGTAAAGCATGGTTCCTGAAGCCTAGCAAATGCTGAAGCTGCCGATGCCTTAGTTTTCTGCCTTATTCTGATGTATTGCTGACAATAAGTTCGGGCTACAGCGCTGGCTCTCTTCCAAGGCGCATAGCGCCATTATCTAGCTATGGCAAGAAGTCTTGTGCAGCAGGTCTGCATTCACCGCATGTTCAAATGGCTGCTGTGTGTGATAGAGCTGGGTGTGCATGCTGATGCTCGTGCAAACAAATTTGGAGCAGAGAATGAAAATTTAAAATGGTTTTGTAGCTATACACTGTTGTGTGTTCCGTTGTTGTACCCGATCCGTTCCGGGATCGGTTACCCCTATGCATTCCCGTACTGTGTACATATATGGATCCTGGTTGTGCATCTTTATCTTTCCTTGTTCTATGTAAATAAACTTTAGTTGTTGTCTGGGGCTTGTGGAGTGAAGTTGATCTATGGAGTGCAGGAACTAACTTGATGTTCACGCAGGAACATTACATGGTGTCAGAAGTAGCAGTTAGTCATGTCGTCTGCCAAATTTCCTGTACCTGCCCTGTTCGATTTCTCCACGCCAGAAGCATGGCCACTCTTGAAGACCTGTTTTGAACGCTTTAGTTCTTTGTCCAAATTGGACGAGGCCGATGCGAGCAGCTATGGATTTGGTGCTGCACTGCTACAGTTCCACGACAATGAGTGGAAGCCGGTTGCGTACGCCTCACGCACCATGACAGAAGCAGAGAAACGGTATGCCCAGATTGAGAAAGAGCTCCTGGCCTCGGTCTGGGGATGTGAGCACTTCCATCAATACCTCTACGGAGCGCCCCGATTTACCATTCAGACAGACCACAAGCCGCTGGTCCCACTAATGAACATGCGTGACCTCGACCGAGTACCTCTACGCTGCCAACGTCTACTGATCACACTCATGCGCTACGATGTACAGGCGGAGTATGTGCCTGGCAAGAACATGGTTCTTGCCGACACGCTGTCCAGAGCTCCTCTTCCTGACACGCCAGCAACCGAATCCGACCTACACAGTGACTCGGAAGCCACCGTCGCCGCTGTCCTGTCGTCTCTATGCAGTCCTACCAAGCAACACGCTCTCGCTACAGCCACTGCTGACGATCCAGTCCTGCAACAAGTAATCCAGCATACCCTCCATAGCTGGCCGACCAAGGTCAACGCAGACCTGGAAGCCCACCGCAACGAACGTGGCTCGCTCTCAGTTCACGATGGTCTGCTGTATCACGGATTTCGGATCGAGTCCCGACATCCGAGCTCAAAGCTACACTTGCCACTTTGCATGACGGTCACCAAGGCATAACCAAGTGCCTGGCCCGTGCAAAGTCCTCCGTCTGGTGGCCAGGTATCACACGTGCCATTTCAGAATGCGTGCAGAACTGCCTGACCTGCACCAAGCATCGTTTTCAGCTGCCAGAGCCTCTGTCTCCAACTGCGTGTCCCTCTTTGCCATGGGAGAGTATAGCAGTCGACCTCTGCCAACATGACGGTCAGGAGTACCTCATTGCTGTTGACTACTTCACCAGGTACATTCACGCCATCCCGCTACGGAAGACTACCTCTGGAGCCGTCATCAAGGAACTCCACGAGCTGTTCGCCATCCATGGCATCCCTCAAGTCCTTGTGTCGGACAATGGTCCACAGTTCGCAAGTGCTGAATTCGCCGCATTCACAGCCCAAATGCAGCTCACCCACCGCACCAGTAGCCCGCACTACCCACAGAGCAACGGTGAAGCTGAGCAAGCGGTTCGAACCTTCAAGCGTCTCCTGAAGACCAACAACAGCCTCAACGATGCCTTACTCAGTTACAGGTCAACACCCCTCGCAAATGGCTACTCGCCAGCCGAGCTCCTGTTTGGTCGTCGTCTACGCATACACCTCCCATGTACAGCGGAATCCCTCGCTCCAAGTTGGCCTGATATTGCCAAGCTAAGGAAGTTCGAGGTGAGGCAGAAAGACAGATAGAGTGAGACGTACGACTCATCACACCGAGCACAATCTCTGCCAAAATTGACCAAAGGCGACCGAGTCTGGGTGCAAGATCTCGCTTCCGAAGCCGTGATTGCAGACCGCGTCTCCGACAGGTCCTATAATGTCAAGACTGACAACCTGTCCGAGTACCGCCGCAACCGTCGCCACCTCAAGTTGCTACCTGATGTGCAACCAACACCAACACCGCAGTTGAATGTCACTACACCTGCAGAGCCTCCATCCGCTGATGTCGAGTTCCAGCCTACCTTGCGCCGATCAGCACGTCCATCCCGGCCGCTGAACAGACTCGCCCTGTAAACGCATTAGTCATTACTCATGCTATGATCACTCCAGTCGCTGACACTGATGATCGTGAACTGCATGTAGTATTTGTCTGTCTCTACCCTATCTCCTCTGTATGTACATGACTAAGTATTCTTCGAGCTGTTACCTCTGTAACCTCTCTCCCTTCGAACATAAAAAGGGAGATTATTATTATTTAAACAATCGACGAGGAGACAATAGTCGTAAAATGGCAATAAATAAGATAAATTGTGCACTCATAACAGCAAAAATGAAAAAAAGTAATACACACGCACCATTACATTCATTCAAACAGTATCACATTCATCTGCCACTACCTTTCTCACATACACTATATTCACACATTGCAAAGGTGCAAACTTCGCTTTTTGTACTTGTTAGCTGCTGTATTTCTACCTGAAACCATATTAGCTACATGTATATAAGTGTGTGTTTTAGTTATTACATTTTTATGTGACGGCGTTCCACTGATGACAGTCACAAGAAAACGTTATGGAACTTGACTTTTTTCATTTTTGCTGTTGTTATGAGTGCACAATTTATCTTATTTATTGCCATTTTACGGTTATTATTATTATTATTCTCAATTCATGGATGACAGATGTTGTGTGTTCCGTTGTTGTACCCGATCCGTTCCGGGATCGGTTACCCCTACGCATTCCCGTACTGTGTACATATATGGATCCTGGTTGTGCATCTTTATCTTTCCTTGTTCTATGTAAACGAGAGTGCTTGGAAGCTCAGTGCCCTATCCTATGCTTTTATGCTTTTTTGCCTAGCTCATCGTACATGTTATTAGAACTAATGGAAATGTTTTTTTTCCGTTGGTTGGCCACATCATTGTATAGGTGGCTATATAGTTCAGGGATGAATTTACTGCCATGTTCTTGTAGAGCAGTTTTTCCTATGCAAAATCTCGTAAGCTACAAAAAGCATGAATAGCCTGTACATGTACATGTATGTATCGCAGTTTTCTGCGTGTCACTGTCATTTTTTGAGAAGCAGTAGATCTATTTTGCGTAGCAAACTGCGATGCGATACCGGATAAATTCATCCCTGTAGTTGGCTTTACTGCTGGCACTCTTTACGCGTCAAAGAGGACACCATTGCATGATTTTTTCCTCTACCTTAGATCGCACAGTTTCCATGTGCGCAGCTGCAGTAGCATGACGCGAATCAGCACGATTAAGTCTCCTATGCTCATTTCTTGCATTTGTGTCGTCCGACGTTTCCTGGGACCGGTGCTGACTCTGCCGATCACGGGCGTTCTGGACTCGACGGGATGTCTGTCCTGACGTTTCCTGTGACCGGCGCTGACTCTGCCGATCACGGGCGTTCTGGACTCGACGGGATGTCGGTCCTGACGTTTCCTGTGACCGGCGCTGACTCTGCCGATCACGGGCGATCTGGACTCGACGGGATATCTGTCCTGACGTTTCCTGTGACCGGCGCTGACTCTGCCGATCAAGGGCGTTCTGGAGTCGACGGGATGTCTGTCCTGACGTTTCCTGTGATCGGCGCTGACTCTGCCGATCACGGGCGATCTGGAGTCGACGGGATGTCTGTCCTGACGTTTCCTGTGACCGGCGCTGACTCTGCCGATCACGGGCGTTCTGGAGTCGACGGGATCTCTCTTCGACGTTTCCTGTGACCGGCGCTGAATCGCCCGTTCACGCTTATTTTGGAGACGACGGGATCTCTCTTCCAGAGTAAGTTTTTGCTGACGCATCCTATCACCTATTCAGCGTCTATTCTAATTTAATTTCCTCCCCGTCTCCCTATTTCTTTCCAAATCTCCGCCTACATCAGGGAGTCGTATACATAATACCACGAATATTGGTACGGTACGGGACAGATACGGAAGCCAGCAAATATTGTGGACAGCTGTTATGTACAAGCCTGTAGAGCCTTTGTAGTCACAGATACGGGACAGATACGGGATAGATACGGGATAGCTCCAGGCGTGACACAAAAACACAAACAAACAAACACCAAATTAAAGCTGTGTGGACCCTGGCTAGCGCCAGACGTTACTGAAGTAACGTCTTCTGCATAGCTACGGGAATACACTTTAGTTGTTGTCTGGGACTTGTGGAGTGAAGTTGATCTATGGAGTGCAGGAACTAACTTGATGTTCACTCAGGAACATTACGTACACATGTTACTTGGTTGTGCACACGAAGGTGCTGAATTCCATATCAGAAGGCAGAAAGGCCTGGGTGTCTAATGAGGCACCCACACACAGGCAGCAATTTCAGAACATACCCTGAACATCCAGGAAGAACATCACTTTCTTTTTAATGACAAGATATCGGTAGACAATTATTTTCCTGCTTGTGCTAGTTTTGATCGCCAATCCGTTGTGAAGCCACATCATACTGTGGTGGACATGGAAATCCAGTCGATTAACTTGGGCCGGCGCCCTCAGCGCGCTCAGAACGCTGTGTGCAGTGCACATGTTGAACCCAATGCTACCAGCACGCTGCAGCACATAAATGCATATGTGTCCCGCTTATCCACGGCTTCATGGCCAGCGCCCTGGGGCCGCTAGATGTGTGACCGGATTTCCATGTCAGCGACAGTAGTTGGCGGTGGATTGGGTACGTGTTTCAGGGTAACGTAAAATGAGATATTCAAGTTCAAGAGAGCTGTTGTACTGTTCAGGGTTGAGAACGTGTCCACAATTGGAGGAACTGTGGAGAAAAGAAAGGTGAAAATGGAAATTGTGATTAAAAAAGAAAGGTGCGATGCCTACATACCTACTTACAGACCGACGGACAGAAGGACGGACAGACAAACAGACAACCAGGTAGACAGACAGACAGATAATGTAGACACTGCAAGCAGATAAACCACACGACTGACAGGAAGAAAGAAAAGGGCAAAATAATCGGCATATACCCTGAATATCGATGGCGAACGCCACACTATCAGTCCCTGCATCATTTTTCACCAGGATGGTGTACACTCCCCTGTCTGAGGGTTACAAATCGATCAGTGAAGATATTTTCGTCTGACGATCAATTCAGTTCGTGAAACTCGGAGTTACGAAACCGCAACTGCTCGTTCTTCTGTCTGTGTATTCCGCTGTTTGCCTTCCGCAAATTGATCCCTCTACGGACCGTGGATGAACCGCACATGGTCAACCTTGGGCGTATATTTTTCCGACTAGTCCAGACTGGGATCAGAGACTGGGCGTCATATACAGAGACTGGGCTTATAATCTTTCATTCATTTGGTGCATGTGCAATGGTTAGTATTTTTTGTTGTACCAGTAGCAGAGCATTTCCCACCAGACACAGTGCAGCTTTGTGCTCCCTGCTGTACTGAATCAGTACTTCGTATCATGGGGACCACGGATTTGCGCCACAAACGTGTGTAACTTAATTTGACATCAAAAATGCATGGACATGATCCATATAGTTATCGATTATACGCCCTGCGCTAATACTGGAGATTGGGCTTGTATATCTTCGAAGCCCTCTTGGAGTGCGCTTATAATAAAGACTGGGCTTCTACAAGAGACTGGGCTTGTAATAGAGACAATACTGTACAAAAATACAAAAAATCAAAAAAAATCATCACCATCGCAAGTTTCATTGGACTCACCCGACACATGTAACTCCACCGTTTGCCATCCCTGAATGGTGATATTCTGTGTATACGCCGGTGGAATGGAATAGGTCACTGCACACCGGTACATGCCTCTATCAGCAGGTGTGAGGGCACCGCCACTTGGCCAGGTCAATGGTAGGGACAGGCTGCCGTTGTGCGTCTCGCCGAACACCAAGAGGTTCGTCTCGTGGGACCATTGTAGCCTGTACATTTTGTATGGTGCTGTCATGGCAACATAGCAAGTTTCGGTGATGCTGTTACGCGCTGTGCCCTCCGCGTATGTAAATACTCCACCGTTATGAAGCAACGATGGGAGAAGCCAATAATCTTGACGCGGGCAAAGCCAACAAAGAAAGCAAACCGGGTTTTCTGAAATATAATTGAATGCAAACCACTGACGCTACCGGTTATACCGGTTTCCATGGTAATCATTCACGGCAACAACAAACAGTTTTAGTGTGTTGGCTGTATTACATTTTCATGTTTGGCGCAGCATAATTTTTGACTTGGGCCCGTTTTCCATAATAAATAATGGAAAACGGCAAACGAGCCCAAGTCAAATGATTATTTGCAAAATTTGTTAGCAAGCTTTCGTGCGAGGACTGCACAGGGAAAATGGGGAAAAAGAAACGGGAAAGAGACAGGTATGTCAGCTAAGAGAAGCAGGCCTTCAACTCACCGTCCTGTGCCCCGACCGGGAGCAGTGTGCAGGTGATGATGAAGGCAATGCACACACGCATCTGGAATGCCGACGCCATAGCCATGTCAACACCACTGCCACTGCTGTCACCTGCCAACAACACAACAACAACACGTTAACACCACGGCCATTACTCCCACCTGCCAACAACACAACAAGGGGACAGGACAACAGAGCACAACACAACGAATCCAAAAAAGCGCCATCTCTCACTTTTGTAGCAGCTATCATTTTAATAACATGCAACATCAAACAGCCGCGGTCATAAAGTTGTTTGTCTCCTCACAGTCTCACATTAGTTCTCTCAATCATTCTCCACCCCCACCCACCCCCACCCCCCTCTCTTTCCCTCTCTTTCCCTCTCTCTCTCTCTCTCTCTCTCTCTCTCTCTCTCTCTCTCTCTCTCTCTCTCTCTCTCTCTCTCTCTCTCTCTCTCTCTCTCTCTCTCTCTCTCTCTCTCTCTCTCTCTCTCTCTCTCTCTCTCTCTCTCTCTCTCTCTCTCTCTCTCTCTCTCTCTCTCTCTCTCTCTCTCTCTCTCTCTCTCTCTCTCTCTCTCTCCTTATTCCTCAGTCCCTACTTCACTTCATTACTCTCACTTGAAAAGAATATTTTTGGAGAGATTTGGGGAGGTATCTATATTTTATTCCCGTAGCTATGCAGAAGACGTTACTTCAGTAACGTCTGGCGCAAGCCAGGGTCCATACAGCCTTAATTTGGTGTTTGTTTGTTTGTTTGTCTGTGTGTTTGTGTCACGCCTGGAGCTACCGTATCTGTCCCGTATCTGTGATTTGGTGTTTGTTTGTTTGTTTGTGTGTTTGTGTCATGCCTGGAGCTACCGTATCTGTCCCGTATCTGTGATTTGGTGTTTGTTTGTTTGTGTGTTTGTGTCACGCCTGGAGCTACCGTATCTGTCCCGTATCTGTGACTACAAAGGTTCTACAGGATTGTACATAACAGCTGGCCACAAACAGCTGCCCACAATATTCGTCGTATTATGTATACGACTCCCTGATGGAGAGGGAGATTTGGAAAGAAATAGGGAGATGAGGAGGAAATAAAATTAGAATGGACGATAGTTGCGGAATAGGTGATAGGATGCGTCAGCAAAAACATACTTTGGAAGAGAGATCCCGTCGTCTCCAAAATAAGCGTGAACGGGCGTTTCAGCGCCGGTCACAGGAAACGTCGGAAGAGAGATCCTGTCGACTCCAGAACGCCCGTGATCGGCAGAGTCAGCGCCGGTCCCAGGAAACGTCAGGACAGACGGAGAATCGACTCCAAAATAAGCGTGAACGGGCGATTCAGTGCCGGTCACAGGAAACGTCGAAGAGAGATCCCGTCGAGTCCAGAACGCCCGTGATCGGCAGAGTCAGCGCCGGTCACAGGAAACGTCAGGACAGACATCTCCTCGACTCCAAAATAAGCGTGATTGGGCGATTCAGCGCTGGTCACAGGAAACGTCGGAAGAGAGATCCCGTCGAGTCCAGAACGCCCTTGATCGGCAGAATCAGCGCCGGTCACAAGAAACGTCAGGACAGACATCAGGACATTTTTTGACTAGCTCATCGTACATGTTACTAGAACTGACCTAAATGTTTTTTTTCCGTTGATTGGCTACATCATTGTATTGCGAAAACGTTTCAATCAGTTTGAATATGAGTTAGGCAAAAGTATTTGAAGAATTTATTGCGGATTGTTATTTTCTCTCAATTCATCCGCTTTTGGTTTGCTCCTTCTTTTCCTTTTATCTCCTTATAATCGGATTTTCTGGCCTTTTTACATTGACCTGTTGAGCCAATGAGGTAAAATTATATTACATACAATACAATATCGCGATAAAATTAAATTTCACGGTTCGCGTGAGACGCATCCTGTCCGACGGCAAAAGAGGCTGCAGATTTAGTTTTTCTGCGCGTTATCAGCAATGACTACTGGTCTTCAGCAACTTGGGTCTCCTGTAACACGCATCCTGTCTATGCTTTCGTAATGCTAACATAATGCTCGGGATAGCACTCGCTACTGATATATTAAGTGGTCGTTGGTTGCTCCGACAATTTCATGTCTGGCGCTAGCTCTGTGGCAGACGGACCTCCGACTGGCGCTATCCCGTACTTGTCCCTATTACCGTAAATACACAAGGCGACAGAGTTAGCGCCAGACATCGATACGGTGTTGTACGGTGGAAGGATGTCGTATAGCATATCGTGCAACAGTACAATGAAATTGTCGGAGCAACCAACGACCACTTAGTATATCAGTAGCGAGTGCTATCCCGAGCATTATGTTAGCATTACAAAAGCATAGACAGGATGCGTGTTACAGGAGACCCAAGTTGCTGAAGACCAGTAGTCATTGCTGATAACGCGCAGAAAAACTAAATCTGCAGCCTCTTTTGCCGTGGGACAGGATGCGTATTACAGGAGACTGTAAAGTTATGTAATGTGCTCCACAGGCAACCATGCATTCGGCCGCCAGCAACAGTTAAAAGCGCAAGCACACTAAGGACGTTTAGCAATGCGAAAGTTCGAAAGAAAATTCGAGTCTGGGAACGAGTACAGAAAAAAAGCTCGAAACTTCGAAAACTTGGGCGCGAAGTTGCAGTGATTTGCGAAAGTAACTTTCTCTTTTCTCGGTACGCATTTGGCTACAGGGAGTAGTAATTTCAGGGCTAGTACTTGTACAGAAACACGTGGGCGCCATCTTGGTTCACGTGACATGTGTCACACCATGCTGTGTACAGGGAATCTTGCCGTACTTCGCGTCGACTCTGGCCTGTTCAAATCCACGCAAGTGAGCCACAGTTCTCTCTAGCAGGCTGAGATTTTGCAGGCACCGAGTTCAGATGTGGGCAAAGGGATTCACCGAAGGATTTTTTGATTTTCGCAATTTAGACTTCAAATAACACCCTCAAACTCAGTAAACGTGTCCCACCTCTAGGATCGTTTTGGCGAAATTCGCTTCGGTGAAAGTATGGAGCATCTTCTACTGAAAATTTTGAGCCATCGATTGTCAAAATCGGCTGATGTGGAGCTCACTTGTGTCGTTTTGAAGGACGCCGCGCCACGCGACTTGCGCTGGTTCTTTCACAAACGGAAGACACCAGTCAGAACTGCAGACTGTGACAGTGCAGTGCGCACGGCAAGGAAAAGAAGGAGACGTGCATTTTCCATTTGTTGCACTGTGTCCTTTGCTCTTATTGTTCACTGATACCATGTTCGCAAAATCTTGAGCTAGAGAGAAGACTGACTTACAATCTTATTCATCTAGGCTTCAGCGTGATGCACGTATTCCAGACCATAGGAAATATTGGGAAAGGAACCGGGAACCACGAGAATAATTTTTCTGGAGCGAATCCAATTATTACCATGGTTCCTTGTTCTTGAACACCGCGCTCCACCACATCGTCAATGTTTCTGCGAGGTAAGGATTTCAGGACTACTGTCGATTTGTTCGACCTCGGGGCGATCTGATCTACGTCCAGCTGGCCATGATACTGAGCCGAACTGGCCACTAGTTCGCTTCTTTCTCGACTCGGGATAATCAAGCCGGTCAGAGTGCGATTTCCTACCCTGGATGCGATCCATGGTGCGGACTGAAAATAACTACTGAACACCTCCTTGTACAAGCACTGACATACAAGACCGGTGGTGGATACAAACTGACCACAGGAAACCCTAACAGCACCCGCTCTGTCAAAGAAAGTCGAAGGGAAGCAGTTCGAACTAGTTCAAGCACCACCAAAAAATAAAAACTAGCACTTGCTCTTGCAGCTAGGTCAAAGATCTGTACTTGCAAGTACACTTTTGCGCAGTCGCGACCTCGCGGCCCCGCATCACGTGCGGGTATCTGATGACGTAGCGTGATTCAAGATGGCCTCTGACGTGTTCCCGTTTTGTGATCCCAAATACCAGCCCTGAATTTTACAGCCCCCTGCTTGAGACTGAGCTGCATATACGGTACGGTACTGTTAAGTTCAGCCACAATCACAATCACAATAGGACCAGGATCGAGTAGGTTCAAGTTAATAATGACAAAGGAAGTGAGTCTCAGAAGTTCGATATCGGAAGACAGACTGACAAGATACGACTGACTAGCTGACAAGACAAGGGAAGAGAAAATGTTCCAGCCAGAGCTTATCTAGGGCCTGGGTAGCTATGGAGATAAATGTGCTAAAGCGCGAGTCCAGCTACCCAGGCCAAAGGAAGAAAAGGTTAGGAAAAGCAACAAGGGCGAGTACGAGGCTGTGAAGGTTAGTACGTCGAGTGCGCGCCTGAAAAGGTGAGTACGAGGTGAATTGCTATTTCTGGACATTGTACATTTCTGGACATTTCGAGTAAAATAATTTTTCGTCGCGTGTAGAGTCAAGTCAGTCAGGTTGATGAAGTTTTTTCTTGTTGTAGTTGACAGCTGGGCTGTTGTAGTTTCTCCTCGTGTCGGTGCCTTGTTGATAGCCTTTTCTTGGGAGGCATTTCAACGAGTTTTGTGGTACTATGTCGCATGAGAATTTTGAATTTTGAGTAAAATAAGAAGTAATGGACGAATTGTTGGCTTCCCCATGTGCACTCCACTTCAGACGCTGTATAGTCTTGGACCTGTTAGCTGGAAGTGTGAAGAGGCCAACTGCAGTCCACCAATAGAAAAAATAACAAAAATGGTGCAGTATAGGATGCCTATTGACGCTATTTTACTTTCATGTCCAGAATTCGATACACTGAAATTTAGGCCAAAAAAATGGCCTGTCGAAAACATCCTGCTATAAAGTCTCTGGGATCACAGCATGAGCAATTGTCACATATTTGGAAAGATGAAGGATTAAGCCATACAATAGATACAAAAAGATATGAAAAATGTAAAACACACAGCCAGTGGGCCTCTATTTTATTTTCATGTCCAGAAATTGCTATTCACCTCGTACGAGAGTGAATGTGAGTGCGCGCCTGAAAAGGTGAGTTCGCGCCTGAAAAGGTGAGTACGAGCCTGTGCGCCTGAAAAGGTGAGTACGAGAGTGAAAGTGAGTGCGCGCCTGAAAAGGTTAGTACGAGCCTGTGCGCCGGAAAAGGTGAGTACGAGAGTGAAGTGAGTGCTCGCCTGAAAAGGTGAGTTCGCGCCTGTAAAGGTGAGTACGAGAGTAAAGGTAAGTTCGCGACTGTAAAGGTGAGTACGAGAGTGAAAGTGAGTGCGCGCCTGTAAAGGTGAGTTCGAGTGTGCGAGTGCGTACGAGTGTGCGAATGCGTGCATATGTGAAATCGTGAACAGTACTATAAGATTCAAATAGCTTCGAGAAAAAGTCATTTCGCATTGCTAAACCTCACAAGTTTTCTTTTTCGAACCAGATTTTCGCGAAATATCACCACCACCAAAAGTTCGAATTTTCGCATTGCTAAAACGTCCTTCCTATCAAGGTAAGGACATTTTCGTATTATTGTATTTTATCGTATTGCATGGAATATAATTTTACCTCATTGGCTCAACAGGTCAATGTAAAAAGGCCAGAAAATCCGATTATAAGGAGATAAAAAGGAAAAGAAGGAGAAAACTAAAAGCGGATGAAGCGAGAGAAAATAACAATCCGCAATAAATTCTGCAAATACTTTTGCCTAACTCTTATTCAAACTGATTGAAACGTTTTTGCAATACAATGATGTAGCCAATCAACGGAAAAAACATTTCCATCAGTTCTAGCAACATGTACGATGAGCTAGGCAAAAAAAGCATAACGTAGGGCCCTGGCTTCCAAGCTCTCTCGTTTTGTGTAGTCAAGGAATTGGTGCAGCTGTGTGCAGTAGAAGTTCAAAAAAATAATCATTATGAGGAGTTACGCCATCTTTATTTTATTTATTTATTTTTTACTATGTACACATAACCAGCTCGAAAAGAATAATCTTTATTTTAATAAAACATTAATGATACTATTTTGAAGCTTCATCATTCTTTTGAGAGGTAAACTGGTTTCAGGGCAGACCTGCTCTCTTCCCATTCACTCTGCAATTCGAACTCGTCTATTGAGAGGTGTACTCTTACTAAAGATTGTACTTGGTCCGGCTCAATGCAATTGTCGCTTATCTATCACCACTAAGAACAGGAGTTTTGTTGCCGCTCTGCGAAATTTTCAGTAGGCATAGTGAGGAAGCATGATACATGAATACTCTCCGCCACAAGAAAAAAATTCAGCCATGGAATCAGGCGAATCGAGTCATAGAAGGGAAGCAAGGTAAGCAAAATGCACGAAATAAATCAGCGAAGGAGTGCGTTCTTGAACTCACACTCTTACAGGTCCAGAGTTCATTCAACTCTCCATCACTCGAGCTGCCGCCATTACATGAGCTGACATTAAAAATAATTGCTGGTGTCTAGCTGCTGGCATAGACTGGTAGAGTATCTCTTGCTTTCTCAGCCTATCGTATGGCAGCAATGGGAAAGGAACAGTTGTGGCTGTCACTTGGATGCTTGAAGGAACCGTTGTGGGCAGTGTGACCTGTGTGTCACCACAGTGTGTTTCAACAGAGCCTTCGAATGAGGCATACAGGCCTCTCCAGAGAGCTGTCATACGCTCCGCTGGATACGCTGACCATGACTATTGTAATGCTGCTGCCAGGTCCACGAAGGAACAAAAGGAACAACCAAAACGTCCCTCGCATGCGCGCATCGCACATCGAAAACACCTTTCTTCTTCAGCATGACGCTCATACTCCCGCGTGCCTGTCACACTCTCCAGGCTAGGCTGTCAGTTGCCCCTGCTACAGTTCCGGTCTTCGGGGGGGGGGGGGGGGGGGGGGGGGCTGCGCTTGGCTTTTGGCAATACAGACAGTGAATGGCCAGATTTCCACTTCCCAAAAAAGTCGAACACATCGCGATTCAAAGCGCTAGTCGCGATCATTTTTCTTTGGTGCCTCATTTGATCTTGCCATCACAACCTCACAAGCAAAAGTAAGTTAGATATCGTGATTGGACTGGGTTTTACCTGTCAAAAGTGCGTGGGAGATCAGCGACAATTGCGATGAGCCGGACCAAGTAGTTTTGCTCTATTTACAACCAGGTCCCCTAGCAAGTGGAAGCCTGGAATCTGACATAGGCAGAAAGAGCAACATACAAATCGAGAAGCATTTGCGCAAGCCTTACGAAGAAACCGCCGTCAAATGGTCTTGCTGCGGCTTGTACTGGGCAATGAAATAATGTCCAACACAACTTCCGCCCTCCCAACTGTTGAAACGACCTGAGTGGGTAACTGACAACCAATAATAGCAAGAGTACATAACCCCAAGAGTGTGCAACTGCCTGCACAACCTCTATGCTGTGCTGCGACGGCAGAACTTCACATCACGTGCATGGTTCAAAAGGTTATGCTGGCAGACGTGCAAAGTGACCACAAGAGAGTTGTACCCAAAGCAGGGCTGCGTACAACCCAGTATCTATCATGCACAGAGTGCAAATAATGTGTACGGGTTCATCACGTGATGTGAAGTTCTGCCGTCGCAGACCCCATAGCTGGAGTTGCACACTCTTGGGTTATGTACTCTTGATACTAGAGAGGTTCTGCAAAACGAAAATGTGTACGAACTTTCGCTCTACGTCGCGAAGTGAGAAACTTCGCACGAACTTTCGCAACTTTGGACGCGAAGCTTGCAGGGAACGCGAAATGAACTTTCGTAGGAAGTTTCATGAGATTGGGTCATGTTGTACGTGCACTTGGCGCGTGCAAACTACGAAAATGTGCAGAACACAAAGTTCGTGCGAAAATTCGTACACACTTTCGCAAGGCCTGTCGCGAAACTTCGTTCGAACTTTCGTTGTGCAGAACCTCTCTACTATCAAGAGCATGACCGCAGGAGCGTGCAACTGCCTGCAGTACCTCTATCTGTTTGTTTGTTTGTTTGTTTAGCTTTATTTTACTTCACCAGAAGCACAGGCTAAATCTGCCTTCTCACTGGGCGTATTGCCACAGTTCTCACAAAATAATGAAGGTGGTGATATAGAAAAGGAGGAAGAGGAAAATACAATCATGAACAAGGCACAAAGAGAAGATGGGAACAAATCAATGAGGGAGTACTACAAGTAAAGAATTGGAATTTGATGAATTTTTCATGAAAATAATGCAACGGATGCAAGGGTTCCAGGGTTGAGAGAATGTTGACAGTTATGCGTCTTTGACATCTTAGGAGAGGGTAAGAGAGTTTAAGATATCGTTTGTAATTGCTTTCTTAAATGCAGAAGGAATTGCGATGGAGCGGACATCAGGCGGCAGCCAGTTCCAGTACACACTACCAATGAACTGAACAGTGGATCGACCGGAAGGACCCGGCAAAAACGGGACACGAACCAGACGTGAAGCCTGACCACGCGTGGCACGACCATTGACTAAATCAAAGAAAGTGCCGAAAAGACTACTGATCATTTCAGCACCAAGACATATGTGAACAAAAAATAATAATTTCTGCTGATATATCTGAGTAAGAGTAAGAAGATCAAGTCGACAGAGAAGACCCACCCACACACTTCACGTACAAACTAGCACCCGGGGAGTCCCAAATCATGATAATAATAATAATAATAATAATAATAATTTGGAAAGGATTGGGAGAACTTCATATTCAAAGGATCAGTCGGGGAAGTGAACTGCCTGAAAAGAGAAAAAAACGCCAGACCCACCAGGACTCGAACCTGGGACCCTGCTTGTCATGAGCAATGCTCTAACCACTGAGCTATGGGACCAGGCTGAACCCAGAAGGCGCTGACAAGTTTTTCACTCCAAAGGCAGCTCACAACACGTGCCACACATACTGATGGCACTTGGGTCTTTTTCCCTCCCCCAGGGGACCAACCACGGTCAGTTTCTGGAAACTACCAGAGGTGAAAGAAAGTGATTAAATTTGGAAAGGATTGGGAGAACTTCATATGCAAAGGATCAGTCGGGGAAGTGAACTGCCTGAAAAGAGAAAAAAACGCCAGACCCACCAGGACTCGAACCTGGGACCCTGCTTGTCATGAGCAATGCTCTAACCACTGAGCTATGGGACCAGGCTGAACCCAGAAGGCGCTGACAAGTTTTTCACTCCAAAGGCAGCTCACAACACGTGCCACACATACTGATGGCACTTGGGTCTTTTTCCCTCCCCCAGGGGACCAACCACGGTCAGTTTCTGGAAACTACCAGAGGTGAAAGAAAGTGATTAAATTTGGAAAGGATTGGGAGAACTTCATATTCAAAGGATCAGTCGGGGAAGTGAACTGCCTGAAAAGAGAAAAAAACGCCAGACCCACCAGGACTCGAACCTGGGACCCTGCTTGTCATGAGCAATGCTCTAACCACTGAGCTATGGGACCAGGCTGAACCCAGAAGGCGCTGACAAGTTTTTCACTCCAAAGGCAGCTCACAACACGTGCCACACATACTGATGGCACTTGGGTCTTTTTCCCTCCCCCAGGGGACCAACCACGGTCAGTTTCTGGAAACTACCAGAGGTGAAAGAAAGTGATTAAATTTGGAAATGATTGGGAGAACTTCATATTCAAAGGATCAGTTTTTAATCACTTTCTTTCACCTCTGGTAGTTTCCAGAAACTGACCGTGGTTGGTCCCCTGGGGGAGGGAAAAAGACCCAAGTGCCATCAGTATGTGTGGCACGTGTTGTGAGCTGCCTTTGGAGTGAAAAACTTGTCAGCGCCTTCTGGGTTCAGCCTGGTCCCATAGCTCAGTGGTTAGAGCATTGCTCATGACAAGCAGGGTCCCAGGTTCGAGTCCTGGTGGATCTGGCGTTTTTTCTCTTTTCAGGCAGTTCACTTCCCCGACTGATCCTTTGAATATGAAGTTCTCCCAATCCTTTCCAAATTTAATCACTTTCTTTCACCTCTGGTAGTTTCCAGAAACTGACCGTGGTTGGTCCCCTGGGGGAGGGAAAAAGACCCAAGTGCCATCAGTATGTGTGGCACGTGTTGTGAGCTGCCTTTGGAGTGAAAAACTTGTCAGCGCCTTCTGGGTTCAGCCTGGTCCCATAGCTCAGTGGTTAGAGCATTGCTCATGACAAGCAGGGTCCCAGGTTCGAGTCCTGGTGGGTCTGGCGTTTTTTTCTCTTTTCAGGCAGTTCACTTCCCCGACTGATCCTTTGAATATGAAGTTCTCCCAATCCTTTCCAAATTTAATCACTTTCTTTCACCTCTGGTAATAATAATAATAATAATAATAATAATAATAATAATAATAATAATACCAGTCAATATTTTATGACTTGGGGCTCCCCGCGTGCTAGTTTGTACGTGAAGTGTGTGGGTTACAGTGAGGGCTGCGTCCCACCCGCCTGTGTGGATTCACAGGAAGTGTGAGTTACGAAGTCTGAAGAAAATGTTGAACGGCCTCTGCTGGGATGACGACTACACCATAGCTCAGTGGTTAGAGCATCGCTGGCTACAAGCGAGGGTCCCTGGTTCGAGTCCTGGTGGTGACAGTCAATTTTTTCTCCAGACTTTTCCCGTTTGTCTCTTTCCCTCAAACCAGTCAATAATAATAATAATAATAATAATAATAATACGAAGTAGTGGTTGCGACTTCGGCGATGATTTTGTAAGAAAGGTTTGCTCCCCACACCGGAGCTCGCGCTATTCCGCCGACTTTACTTGACACTTGACTGACTCACGACTGCCATCCAGAGCACACGAGAAGTCCATCGAACCTTCGACTCGGCAAATAATAATAATAATAATAATAATAATTAACTGGTTTGAGGGAAAGAGACAAACGGGAAAAGTCTGAAGAAAAAATTGACTGTCACCACCAGGACTCGAACCAGGGACCCTCGCTTGTAGCCAGCGATGCTCTAACCACTGAGCTATGGTGTAGTCGTCATCCCAGCAGAGGCCCTTCAACATTTTCTTCATAATAATAATAATAATAATAATGGCTACAAGCGAGGGTCCCTGGTTCGAGTCCTGGTGGTGACAGTCAATTTTTTCTTCAGACTTTTCCCGTTTGTCTCTTTCCCTCAAACCAGTTAAAATAATAATAGTAATAATAATTTCCCCTAAACATCATTGTGTGAGCTATGTTCCATGACCATGGTCTTGAGGAACAAATCAAGTGCATGAACCCAGTACTGGAAGTATGACAGGGTTCCTTACCCTCAATTGGACAACACTCAGTCTCAGCACACGTCAATATCTAAAAGCGACAAAGTCCACTCGCCGTCTGCCAAACCTCCTATGGTATAAACGGAAGTGTCCACTCGCTGTCCGCTTCTTCCGCCTAGTACAAAAGGCAGCAGCATTTGTTCCGCATCCACTGGGCTGTCGACTACAACTATTGTTCTTCCGTGTCTGTTCTACAACTATTGTTCTTCCGTGTCTGTTCAAGTCAATACTCTGAGTCGTCTTTCGACTTCAAATTCTAATACATTTGCCTTGGGACAGTTTCCAGTCGGCTGGAAGCTTGTCGCAGAATATGAGTTTGCGACATGCAAGATGCGCAATGCCGATATATACGGAAGGACTTGGGTCCCTACAACTGTAGTATCTACGAGACCACGGAGGTCTACGGTGTAACACCCGAAAACGAGCAGAACTCTGCTTCAAGAGATGCTTGGTATAAAGGTACAATCATCAGGATATGGCTGCTGCATGCACGCTAACAGGCTATGAGCACAACAGGTGGCGATCTTTGCCACTACGTCTACGGTACGAGCCTCGTACGACTCGTGCCAAGCTGCAAGTGTGTTCGTCGTCTACGAAGCTACAAAAGCAAGAGGACATTTCTGTCACATATGGCAGCAGTTCATCGGGTGTGTGACCGTGTACAAGAGTGCCATAAACCATGGACCATGATGGACTCTTGCAGTGATCGCGTGTGTGACTGTGGACAAGACTCAAGAGTACAGTCACAAACCTGTAAACCATGTGTACTCTTGCCAACTCTGCGGATCCGAGTCTTGCTGTGAACACCCCCCCCCCCCCCGGCCCCCGAATTCAAGCATTCTCTCTATCAGCATTCTGTTTGCCCGTAAAAGAGGCCTTTCATCAGCATTTTCGCCGATATATTCATTACACTGACGGTACACCAACTCCTTAATT